ATGAGAACATGGGTTTCCCGATTGATTTGGACTTCAGCATTAGCAAGCTTTATTTTTTTGCTGCCCAGATGGGCCCCCAAAGGGATCTTGCTATTATTTTGATCTGCGTTGTTCTGTTTTCTCATTTCCTATTTCTTCTTCAGTGAACTATCTATTTACACTATTCTAGTGCAATGTTTGATCTTTTTTGGGTTGTAGACGCTTCCCATGATTACACATATTAGTCCTGTTGCACATTTTCCAGCTGGCTGTTAACAGGCATTAGGAAGTGTAAGAATGTGCAGAGACAAATCTGGAAGGATTTACACTAAAAGTGGCGACATCTCAGTGATAGTGTCATGGGGATTTGGCTTTCTTCTTCCCATGTTGCCTGCTTTTTTGCTCTTGAGCACTAGACATGTCTTAATTTCATGACTAGAAATAAAAGAAACCAACAGAGTGATGAATGAGGGGCCAGGTGAGCAAGGTGCTTAAGATGGACAGAGAGGAAAAGAAGTAAAGAATAAGTAAGCTGAATCCCCCATGCCCTTAGCTTTTGATTGCTCTTCTCAGCTAATATATATCGCCTGAATCATAAGGACTTATCATAGATTCTTGAGAATTGAGAAGACAGATTTAACCCGAGTCCTTGAAATCAGAGTGTCAGTATATATTCTAAGACTTAATCATACACATGTAGAAAAGCAATCGATCTATCAACCATTTTATAAGCACTTACAGGCAAGGGTAATCAGTGTTGCAATATATTATAGCACATCACGACAATAATCCTAGAAGACTGTTGTGCTTCACCATGTGGAACTCTGGCTGTGGAGTGACTATCGAGTGCCACTTGAAGAGAAGGCAAAGCCTCTAACCTTCAGGCTGGAAGGGGGAGCGAGGACGTGAGCACCTTGTCATTTTGAGGCAGAGATTCAGATAACAGAGAGACATAGGAAAAGAGACACATCTGTCATGTCTTCCAAACTGAGCCGAGGACATCTGCAGCTACTGCCAACATCTCACTCTAGTACAACGGGAGAAACGGATGTAAAAATAGAAGTGATATATCCAGCTATTAACACGGAGGCGAGCTGAATATAGCAGCCTGCGGGAGCACTGACGTAGTAGGGAGCAGGCTCCTCGCAGGGCCGCTGCTGTCTCCAGGGCACACTGTGCCAACACACTGCAGAGGTTTCCACCAGCCTTGATGGCTGTACTCACTCCCCCAGCTTTTACTGAGTTGTGACTGATGAACGAAAACGGCGTGTATGCTAGGAGAGTTGGTAAAAGGTGTGCAACGTAAAGGGTTGGGAAGAGAAAACCGAGGCGCTTACAAAACTGTAATACCTTAATAAAAGAGTGAATGAGACTGTGTGTGCAGAAGAAAATGCCCTCCTGGAGTCCGTCACCCCACCATGTGAGTTATCTTCTCTGAGGCTTATGCAAAGGCTGAACTGATGTGTGCAGAACAGGCAAGGATTTTTAACAATGAGAATGCTGGATGAGAGGACAAAGATTGCATGAAAAAACCAAAGGGGATGCTGCCCCCAGAAAGTAACTACCCTGGTTTCCTCTGTCACCTCTACTCCACCTGGGGGGGTGGGGGGGATGACAATGAGAGCCCACTCAGTAGAGCAATTCCAGGAAGGTTCTTTATCACAAGCATGTCTAGTCATTAGTGGACATAAGAAGATGGATCTTCTTATTCTTGCTGGCCCTTTGTTTTCTCAACTGAGATTAATTCACATCCATGAACTCTGCCCTTTATAAGTATACAGCTCAGTAACTTAGCTGCAAGCTTGTGCAACTGCCACCACCATCTAATTCCAGGACATTGCCATCACCCCAAAGAGGAACCCTGCATCCACAAGCAGCCACTCCCTTTTCTCCCCCTTCCTCAGCCACCCACAACTGTCAATCTACCTTTTGGATCTACAGATCCACTTCTTTTGGATATTTCCTGTCAACGGACGCATACGATACACGATATTTGGTGTCTGGCTTCACTCACTAAGTATACTATTTCCAGGGCTCATCTGTGTTGTGTCGTAATAGCAGTACTTCATTCCTTTACAAAAATAGCTTATTGTTTAACTGTTTAAAGGTGTACAGCACCTTTAAACAGCAGGGCAAGATGGCCGCACAGGAGTGACACCAAGCCCCCCAGGCCTGGCGCCGCCTCTGTGTGCTCTGTGGGTTCACTTTGAAGCCTGTGCGGGGGAGAAGCTGTCAGTGGGCACCTCAAATTTGCCATGTTGTCTGGCAGAAGAATGTGCCCAGAATGCATGTTTCTCCAGGGGATGTGGAGAGAATCACAGGCGGCTTCTCTAAAGGAGTGAGTTCAAAAGCTGCCTCTCAGCTCTAGAAATTTGAAGAGCTGTGGTGAGTGTAGCTTTATCGTTCCTCAGTGACAGTTAGACAGAAAGGTTCCAGAAAGGTCTGCAAGCAAACCAAATCCACAGAGCCACCTTCTACCCCTTTCTTTACCTGGGTCTTAGGCCCCTACCCCAGATGAAGGGGAATGGACTGACTTGCACTGCTGGTTCTCTGGACCCTTGTGGCGATACTCCTGCTCCCCATTTTCCTCGTCTAGACCACTGAAGAACAGAACAAAATAGCAAGAAAAAAAAGAGATACCTACAACAACTCAGCAGCACTCAGTGCACTCACAACATGGCAGTCTTCACCTCTGCTGAGTTCGAAGGCATGCTCCTCCCTGTACACAGCCCCGGCACTTCCTCCTCTCCTCTTGGCTCCTGGGAACCCCCAGTCTGGGTTCTGTCTTAGACTTCTCTGCTCTGGACAGTTCATACAAACGGAGTCATTAAACCTTTCGTATCGGGTGCTTTTCATGTAGCATGATGTTGGCTATTCATCCATGTGATAGCATGTAGCAGTATTGCTTTTAATGACCGAATATTACTCTACTGTACGTATACTACACAATTTGTTCAGCTAATTGTCAGTTGATGAAAATTTGGGCTGTTTCCAAATTTGGGCCATTATGAATAATGCAGCTATGAACATCTGTATATAGATGTTTTTGTGTGGACATATGTGTTCCTTACTTTGGATCGATACCTAGAAGTAGAATCATGAGGTCATACTGTAATACTAAATTTAACTTTTTCAAACATCTCCAGATTATTTTCCAGAATAGCCACATCATCTTATACTCTTACCAGCAATTATGAGAATTCCATTTTCTCCACATTCTCTTCAACACTTGCTATTTTTTTTTTTATTATAGCCATCCCAATGAAGAGGTAAAAAAAGCCACCCATATACACAGTGAAAAAAAGAAACGGCTCAAAGTGTAAATCCCTCATCCTTCTCCACTCCCATTTCCACAAGGCAAATACTTTAAATTCTTTCAGTGGTTTCTTCTGGTATTTATCTTCTATTCCTGGCAATATGCTTACACTGCTATTTAAAAGTCAGTTTTAGATATTATCTCTTGCCTTCCAACTATGAAAGATGAGCATTTAGTTCTCTTATCCCCCCTGTGCACACAAACACCCACTTCCATCTTCACAGTATATTACTGGCTTCATTTTCGGTTGAATCGACCCTCGGAGCTTACACTGTCATGACTAGGCCTTCCCAGCCATGGGGCACAGGGGTGTGTTGACTTAATCATAATTCCCGCCCTCAGACTCCACATAACTTAGAGGCAAACATTTGCCTGATTTTTCATTTCCTCGGCATTTTACACAGTAATTACTAACTCACCCTAAAATTCTGCAAGAAAACTAAATTCTCCAAGCACAGTCAAACACATTGAATCCCATTATTTCTACTTCCTTGTGGTGTTTTTTTCCTTTGCTTCTGAGAGACATTCTTCCTAGTTTTGGTCTATGAAGGATGAGATTCAGAACTGGTAAGAAACCTCTCCAGTTCAGGTGACTGTCTGACAAAGTAGGGGAAAAAAAACCCGAATATTTCAGAAACGACTAAATATGCAGGGAAGACCATCGCTTGGTACAATTTAACAACTAGCAGATAAAGCACATTTTGAAGGTCAATGAGGATGGAATGTCATGTCGTAAAGCACTCCTTGCACAAAGCATATCTATATCTAAAACATCAGCAAATCTTCTCAGGATAAATGATCAACATTTTCAAGTCTTTTCTAAGTATAAAAACCAAAACATTTTATAAATAATTAATTACATACAAGTTACTTCGAAATAAAGACCCTGAACTTCTTTTTTCTTCTTCAACTAGTTTCTGATGATTATTTACTTTTCTGGTCAGTTCCTCTGAATTCTAGGCCACCAACTAAAATGTTCATTTCCTTAGTTTTCTAGGAACCCCTTGTTTCCTTTGTACCCGAGTGACAGGCAGAACCTGTCTCCCTAACCTGCCTGTCCTTACTAAGCACAGGTGTCTGTGTGGGGTTCACAGACCTAGTTTTGAACTCCCAGCTCTGTTACTTCCTGGCACAGTGATCCTGAGTGAGTTTCTCCATCTGTAGAGTGAGGTAGATATTATCTCCTGCTTAAGGTGAAGTGAGGTGGATGCAAAGGCGAAATAGTTGGCATGTAGAAAGTGCTAGCAGCTACTATGTACTGGCTAAAAGAAAGCGCTCACTCACCAGGGCTCCTTGCTGTTTCAGTCCACAGCACAGAGAAGTGAGATTTGTTTACTTATTTGTAGCTTGTTTACTATGTAGAATCTAAAACCCACAAGGGCAGAACCTTCGTCTTGTTCACCACGATAGCCCCAGGGCCTCCTGTTAGTATTCAGTGATGTATGAATGCATACAGAGAATGCAGGTGTAATTTTACTGCTCTTCTGGTTTATGGATGAGGCTCAGAAAAGATATGTCACTTGCAAAATGTCCCACAGTGAGCTCAAGAGGGGTTCAGATACAGTTCTCCTGTCTGGTGGAGATTCTTTTCCACCATACCATCTCCCAAGGACTTTACCTCACCATCCAAAAATCCAGGTCTGGTATCTTAGTTACTAGGCAATGATTTTCAAAGACCAAAATAGCCTGAAATTTAAATACCTACCGTGGTGTCCACAGCCTTGACTTTCTCCGTGGGAATGTGCTTTGGGACGGGGTCTGTCTGTGACAGCATCACACACCCTTCGCCACCTAAGGTGATGATGACGACCTGGCAGCCCCTTTGCAGGAGGGTCAGTGCAGCCTTGCCAGCCTCTGTGGGGCTGCTGACCGGCAGGCCGGTGAGAATCTCAGCCTGCAGAGTGTGGATGGGAAAGAAAACAACGATGGAAAAGCAACCAGGGTCCACTTGCAGATTACATTGATTTTTCTAGAAAATGTCTCCCTTCTTGTGCATAACAACCAATACAATGGGGGAACTTCTCCTCTTTTAATGGTGCCTATTCCTTATGGGGGGCTAACATCTATCACCTCTGCTGGCTTCCAGGGCCCTTGCACGGCAGGCTGAGAGCTCTAAGACTCACTCCCATTTGGGGAGTGTGGACTCACGGTATCCTGTGTTTGGACTTGAGCCTCCTCATGTCTCTTTATGTCTCAGTGGCTTGTGTGGGTGGCATAGAGGGAAGAGTCGTAAAGCATGCCTTTACATTGCTGTCATGATGAAGTCACCCGTGAGAACGTTCAACTCTGAAAGTTTTCCATTTTTCCATTAACTTTTCAAGATCAATTTTCTTAAATAGCAGTTTGTTCATTGCTCAACAGACATTTATTAGGTGTTAGGTAGTTAGCTGAGCAGGTGGTATTTTCCAGAGATAACTACTTCGCGATTCAATCTTTCACTGAGAGGTGGGGAGCCAAGAAGGACTTCCGGTCTCAGTCAACAGAAGGGGCCTGAACAGATGCCACGTGACTTCTAAAACTAAGTCAAAAAAGCCAAAGCCAGCATTTGTCTGGTTTCCCCTCTCCCTCCTGGGCCATGGAACCTATGTTCCAGATTGTGAGAACGTCCAGGTCACAGAAGATGCCAGATTTGTTGTTACTGTTTTAAGTTTTCTGGCCTACAGCCTGCATCAACTAGCAAGTCTGTGAGCAAAGGAGTCTTCTGATGGCTCCAGCCCATGACCTTGGAATTTTCTAGGACCTAGACATGGAGGAGAAATAAGCCATAGTGTGTCCTGTCCCAACTCCTGATGCACAGGAAAGTGAGGGCCAGTGAATACTGCTGGTGTTGCCACGACATTTACCCTGGCAACAGGGATAAACTCTGAGGGTACAATGGTGTGGGAGAGGAGTCCCTGTCCCACCAGGACTTTGTAAGAAGACAGACCCAGTGGCTAATTTGAGCTACAATGTATGTTTAAAAAATAAATAGAGATGCTCTGTAGGTATCTAGCAAGGCTAAGGCTGTTTGGCAGTTGAAGGCCATCTAACCTCTTATTGTGAAATGGTCACTACCTCCCACAATTCCCTCTTCTTAACACAATGCCTGGCCATGTTGATTGCTCAAAAATATTGCATAACCTATTGTGGTTTTAAAAATTAAGTTTCCTTGTAGTCATCTTGTTTCCTCCATGTTCTGGGAGATTAACAAAGAGGCATGTTAGGAAATCCTAAAAACCTTTATTCAGCCTTCGAACTCAATGCAGGATGACTACTAGAGCTCACTCATTACTTTGCTCTCTGTCCCCTACCTACCATGCCCTCTACTGTTCGGGGAGAGAGCCAGTTCTAACCCTGTCTGGCCCATAAAATGGAGAACCATTGAAATCTTTTTCCTAAAATGCTCCAGAACGAGTGGGACAATGTGACTACATTAAGACTACTGGATGGAGGGGGTGCTGATGCTCCCCTAACGATGCAGACCCCCATGTCTTTCCCAGGTTATCAGTGGAGACCCATGCTTGTCTGCAAATGCTCCAAGGCTGAATATAACTTAGGACTGCTAGACCAAATATAGGATGTTCAATTTCATTTTGTAATTTGATAGCGTAAGATTTAGTGTGGTATTTATTGCTTATCATAAATTCAAATTTAACTGGGCACCCTGTATTTTTATTTGCTAAATTTGACAATCCTAATACAAATTAGTTCATAGAATATGGACTAATTTTAAAAGAATACACCATAGTGTGAAGGCAGGGAGGAGACTAAACTTAGCTGAGGTTTGATAAGTGCTAGATTATGGGGATGATTCAGGAAATCCTTTCTTTTCCGGGGCTCACTAATTTCCTTTTCATACACCCCAGTCAACTGAAAAATCTGTTTTCACTGTGCAATAACTTGCATGCAGTCAAACTGATGTGGTTAGTCCCGTGTCTTTGCTTTATCCACGGCATGAACACCTCTTGGTTTCTCACGGATTGAGCAAAATCTTTCATCCTTACCTCACTTTCATTGCAGCAAAACACATCCGAGAGGGTATAGAACTGGGGGTCCAGGTCAGCTATGGCAGGAGCTGGGTTGAATAATGTTTTCACTGCAAAGGAAAAGGGCTGACATGGGGCCTTTACAGACACTCAGTAAGAGAAACCCCATGTACAACTATATTCCCCTTAGGTTAAAAAAAAATCAATGTATTTACAGATGGAGGAAAATCTGCACTCACAGTCTCCAGGATACCTCAGTACCCAATGCTTTTTTATTACCATTTGCTCCACTTCTTACTTGAAAACATTCAACTTCAAGGGCAAGCATCAATATTTATAGCCAAGGTGATTACAAAGGGTAGCAAGCACATTAAAGAGAAAGAATGAAATGTGGCATGAAGGGACCTGTATGAATGTGAACAGGCTGGTGAGCATTTTTACGGGTTAGTTTAAGTGCTTAGTTGCGAGGTGAGTTCATAAATCCATTTTCCAGGAAAGAAAAGAGATGACAGAAAAGAAACAATGAAGAGATCAAAATTTCCTTGGGAAGAAAGTAGGATACGTATGTATACTTTGAACAGTGAATGTGTATCTTTCAAATATATCACAGTTACTAATGCAACTGTACACAGTAATACAAAAGCTTGCATTCTTGGCATCTACAAGCAGTCTGGAAACACAAAAGACTTGAAAAAGGAGGAGCGGGTCAATCAGAGGCTGAGAGCTAGCTCAGTCTAGAAGATCCTAGCGGAGATGGCTGGGGATGGCAGAAACAGGGAAAATGTGAATGTCGCCACCATCGCAGGGGCAGAGTGCATTTTTCAAGGGAGGGAAATGGGTCTCAGAGCGATGAGGCCCCAGCCTGGGGCCATGCACTGAGACGTGGGTAAGCTGGGCCCCGTCTGGAGCCGGGTCCTCTGGCTGGTGGCCCATCTTTCCGTAGCAACACAAGCCCTGGCCCCCCAATTTAATTGTTTTAGAATAGCCTTCGGTATGGAACTTTGGGAAATCTTTAGAAATTACATTCGTGGGACGCTCCTCCTGGGTCAGACCCTTACTTATTCAGCAGAGAACTCCAGCCGCTGGGCTGGTCTTTTCCTTTACCCAGTTCCACGGACGTAACATTCTCAGTAGCCCTGACTTACCACAGCCTAAATAAATAAAAGTCTCTGGCTTCAGTTCTCTAGAGATGCTCCCAGAAGGGCGCTCACAATCTTGGCTGCACTGGGAGAGCCCATTACAACGCAGGATTTTGTGGTTCCCCCTCAAGCCACTGCACGGGAGTCTGATGGGGGGGAAGAAGGTGCATAGGGAAGTTCTCCAAGTGGCCCTGCGCAGCCAGCTTGGCACCAAGCCTTCCTCGTTCTTGGGGGTGATGCTATCAGCATGTGGCCAATGGGAACTGTCCACTGCTGTGTCTGGTGAGGTGAGCTAGCCTAGGTCTTAACATTTCGGTTCAGTGAGTAGATCCTGGTCGGTGGTTTACAGGCTAACACCGTTTTGACATTTTCATTATTTTAGAACCCAGAATATCCACCTACAGAAATTCTATAGTATATTTTTGGCTGCTTATATTTTTGCACAGCATAATTGTGCAGCTTAAATTAGAAAACGGATGTAAAAGCCCTGTGTAAACTGTAAAGTGTTTTACAAATGTAAGATTATTACTATTATTATACTGTCCTTTATACTCAGTCCGACACCCCCGCCTGTCCACCCATCTCTTCTGCCTTCTGTTGGAGTTGGTAGCCTGGCGACAGTCGCTCTTTGATTCTCTGGTTTGGGCAAGGCCTAGGAGGCGCCCGTGATACACAGAGATCTGCACTGCCCAGCATTCTGACACACCCACGGACTTTATAGGTTTTGAGTTATATTGTTCCCTGATTTTCCTTGCATTAGAATGAAAGGCTGAAATACTATTGTTTGCCTGCCATGATCCCCAACCTGCTCTTGCTAGCACCTGTGCCCAGGTTGGAACAAAGTATGCTGTGGATCAGCTGGGTGGAGTCACTCCCGCAAAAGTTCCATTTTATCTCAAGAAATCCTGATCCAGCAAGTCCTTTGTTAAACCTACCTTGCTGGAACACACAAATATGCCAAGCTGACTTCGGTGGTGTTCACCCAGCCCTGGTTGTGATAGGGACAGCCCTCCCTCTCCCAAGCAAGCATTGGAGAAGAGTAGTTAAAAAAGAAATACATTCAACCATGCACTCTGCAGCTCTGAGAAAGAATGAAACAGAGCTCTGCTTTGCCACAGAAGCATTTCTATAATTTAACTGTAAGTGAAAAGACATTTTGGTAATATATAGTTTAGTTCCTCTCTTAAAAAAAAACAAATAACAATATGTATCTTTCTATTTATATACTTATAGACATTCATGGGGTGAAAAAGGTCTGAGAGGTTAGTTACTAAAATGTTAAGTGATGAGCTACAAAAAGCTGATGGTAACTAAATCTGACCATAGATTTTCTGCTGTACACCATGCAAATATATCACTCTTAAAACAGATACGGTGTTTTACATCAAAAAACAAGGACATAGTTGATGAAGTGATATCATGTCTGGGTTTTATGTCAAAGTCGTCCAAGGCTGCAGTGTGGGTCTGGATGGGGAAGTCATGAGTTGGGGTTTAAGGAGTCTGGCCTTGGTCGAGAAGGAGGCTGAACAAGGACTGTAGGGGGTTTACCACACTATTCTCTGTGGCCATATGTAGTTGAAATTTTCAACAACAGAAACACTTAAGTCAGTTACATTGAATCTTAAGCAGCTATTGCTTTTACCATAAATCAACAAAATCTTACTTATATTTTGCTGAGGGAAAGCATTGTTCCCAATAGTAACTGGACACAGAGGCTTAGAGTTTACTAGTAAATACATTTAGGGAAAAGTGAAAATGTCAGAAAGAAAGATCTCACTTTGGCTTGTGCTACTCAAAATAAGCAAAAATACTTTTAACATGATGGAAAAAAATGTGATGAATTAGCAGATGTGGTTAATCAAAGAACTCAAATGTTTAACAGACAAGGTGGGAAAAAATGATGTCATCCTGGAACCATGTAGAACCAGAGAACAACATGTAATGCTGTAGCTTGGAGCTGCAGAGATGGCTGACGGCATCCAATGGCATCTATTCATTACAAGGTGGGCTAAAACCCTACAGTCTTAACATTATGTCACCGGCTGACAGAATGTCAGCTAGGAACTGGCGAGGCCCAGGGAGGTAGACACATAGAAACTAAGACAAGAAAATGAGGTGGAATCTCTTAATGGTGTCGATGTGGAGGGCAGCGGTTGCACAGTTAAGGAGGCCCTAGTAGACAGCTCGCAGAAACAGTTGAAGAAAATCACCCCAAGCTCACAAACCAATGGAAGGTGGGGAATACTCCAAACACTTGCTTGGTGCTTTCTCACTGTAGGTTGGGGCTCCTTCTGGTGACACGAACAGCAACACCACTCACAGCCTGGGCTATGTGCTGGACAAGGTTACCGTGATCGTCAAGGTGGCTAGCCAAGAAGTTTTGTTTGCCAAATGGAAAAGGACTAAAGTGGCATTAAAAGATATTTTGTATCCTACCTAGAATTTAATCTTGGCGATCTTACAATCTCAATTATTTATAATTGTTCCTGTAATGTTCCATTTGCTTTGAAATGGATATAAAGACCAGAACCAACATGCATAATTTCATCACAAGCAGCTGCAGCGCCCGCTCTGCCGTGGGCCCAGCGCACGGTTCGGTGACCTGGGAGGAGGGGCTGGTGTGTGAGTGTGGTGCCCTCTTTACGGTCAGTGCCTCTGTTTTGGTAAAGACAGCAAGAGAATTCTGAGCAGTATGTTTGGGCTTCTTTCTCTGGACATTAGCATCCGACCTGTAATCTAGTTATTCAATGTGTGTCGTTCAGTTGCCAGAAGCACAGATAAGGGACGGTGATCATAAACCCACAGATGATGACGATGACGATGATTTTACCATCTTTCCCGACAGAGGAATAGAGCTGAAGAGCACACGTGCCACCTTGGGGGCAATGGGCCGGGCCTTAGCCCTCACACATCACTAAGCTTTGCCCGCCCTGCAGTGGGATCGACCCACTTGTAAATCATGGCAAGACAGACTGAGAGTTGTCGGCCCACTGCTCTTGTTTCAATGAGGAAGAAACTAAGGCCCAAAGGGAGGAACTGACCGACTTGCCTGAGACCCTTCATTTACTCGGTGATTTACTCTGAGTTGAAGTTCCTTTGTCGTGGCTCTTACACCAGTGCTCCTTTCATTCTATGACCCTTCACTCATGTGGGAATGAATATGCACAGAATCCACACGCTGGGAGAGAAGATCTAGCCTGCACCTGGCTGGTAACTACCAACTGGTGCGAGCGGAGCCCTGTGTAGGGCCTGTGTACATGGTCCAGGGTGGGTGTTGGATACGCTTTGTTGGAAACTCTCTAGGATCTGTTCTCTTGATTTGAGCAGCCAAACCAGGTTCCATATTGGACAATGTCACAGATGCATGGATTTCGCTTTCCCAGAGATACTCTTCATGAAGGTTTTGCTCTTTGAAATCAGTGGGGGTGTGGCAATTTCCTCACTGAAAGTGTGGTCTTGGAGACAAGACTTGGGTTCAGTCTGAAATCCTGGTTGCTACATTTACTAGGAGTGTGACCTTGGCTGAATTAAATACTTGACCTCTCAGGCTCTTCTATGCTTCGAATGGGAGCATGCCTACCACATCTTTGTCATAAGGTCAAATTTATAAATCAGTGTAAGGACATAGAGATGCAAGGTGTTACAACTTCCATATCACTGTGGAAGAAAGATCTTGGGGAATTAGTACTTAGTGCCTGGGCTTTGATAAAACTGTGAAGTAGGGGCCTTCCTGGGTGGCGCAATGGGTTAGGATGCAGCACTGCAAGCTGGCTGCAGCCGCTTCAGTGCAAGTTCGATCCCCCACCCTGGAGCTGATCCATATGGCATGGCAGACCCCTCCTGACCTGCCCGCTGCTCCCCTCAGCACTGTACTTTGTTGATCTGCCTGTTCTGCTCCCCACTCTCTCTCTGGTGAATCCTCTAACCACCCCTGCACCGCTAGCCTGTACCCCAGTTCTGCATGCATGCATAAATAAAATCTTAAAAAAAAAAAATGGTGAAGTAGACCAGGTGTTCTTTCACCTACTATCACCTATCCTTCCTCATCCATCCTTCCTGATGCCCCATCCTCCAGCTCCTCCTGGCAGCCTGATGCAGGAAGTGTTTCTGGACCCCACCCAAATGACAGCTTGAGGTCAGGTGCCCACCCGTCCGGGTGGCTCTAGCCTCACCTGTGAGAGGTTAGATCCTCACCTGTGGTTGCTGTGCCCTTCTCTCTTCCACAAGCTTGTGACAGGTAACTAGACTAGGACAGAGGGAACTGGGATCTTGAGAAGCAAGGGATAGTAGAGAAAAAAAAGAGAAGTTATATGAGTTATTTGAGAATAGGCTTTGACCTATACAAGGAAAGACAGGAGCATGAGCGAAGTGGCACGTTACAGTCATGTCACCCGACTGAGATGAGTGCAGAGCAGAGGCTGTTTACTGTAAGCATTAGACTTTGTCTGTGACACCCCGAGAAAATGTAACCCAATGGGCTTTGACTTTGAGTGCTTTTTGACAGCTTCAAGTCTATTAGGAAGACATGAAATGGGCCCTCCCTGGTTGTGCAGCGGGTTAAAGCACAGCACTAAGAAGCAAAAGCCACTTCAGCATGACTTCAATCCCCACCCGGGAGGTGACCCACATGGCGTGGCAGACCTCTCCTGGCCCGCCCGCTGCTCCCCTCAGCA